TCGCCTACATCGTCCATATAGGACGACTCGGGAACTCAACTCCTACCCCGGGCAGCTCACCTATCCCCTTATGCCCAGGGGAAAGGTATCAAGCCGTTTGACAGCTGATGCTGGCTGTCAAACCGGCTTTTACGCAAAACAGGCGGGAGGCAGCAAACAGCTGCGACCGACGAAATCGCCTGCCACCGGAAGTCCCATTTTCTTGTCAGATTCTTCAACGCCTTCAACAATGACAGAGCTTCTAATATGCTACCTTCAGTGGAAAAGTTGGGATATCTTCCTTGAAAATATTCCGTATGGAACTGTATAGCACAGACAAGCATCAGCACAGGAAATGTTTTATAACATTTGGCATTATGTTATAAATGGCTTTATGATAATACTTATATTACACAAGCTAGTCCTTGACTTATGACCTTAATGGAGTCTGCCTATTATGATAGGTAAGTCATAGAGGTAGTTAAGTGAGGCTGCCCACATGGTTGTCTTGCTTAACAACCAAAATCTCTCTCTCCACATTGCAGTTACTAAGTGGTACATGGGTTACCTCAGGGGTAGGGAGGCACTGGGAGACCCAGAGCAGGCCCAGACCCATACTGCAGCACCTCCCTAGCTCAAATATGGCCTACACTGGGAGTCCCATGCCCTCTGAGGAACCCCATGCTCTGCTTCCCACATTACTGGGTCTCCCTTGTGTCTACCTCCTAATCGGTTGGTTCCCACAGGCCTTAGACATGCTTGCTGTCCCATTGAGTTCCACATCCTCCTTTCTCCTATCATGCCTCAGTCCATTTACCTTTTCCAAAGACTGCCTTTGGGAAGGAGAAGCAACTGATCTGCCACATGACCTTCCTATACAGAGGCCATATGATGCTGTCCGGGAAGCCGATGCCATTTTGGAAGTGGCTGCAATTCTCAAAATAGCACATCTTGATCCTTTCCAACTCATACTTGCCGTTTTCATGATTCAGGAAGCATTTTTGCCCGAGGGGGAAGCGAAGGAGGTTGGCTCAGGAAAACCATCACTAGGAGAAGATGAGCCAACCTTCCTCACTTCCCCAGTGAACATAACCACTTCGCGCCTTTCCCTTGGTTACCATGCATATTTGTGCCATGCTGCTCAGCAATAATAATTGTGCAGTGTGGCAGAAAAACTGTAAGAATGTCAGCCAATGGGGAAAAGTGATACCTCACTTTAGGACCACATCATTTAGTGATGGAAATTCCTGTCCCAATTGTGATTGTAAGAAAGGACTATCTTACACTGTCTTTTGTTTTTAAAAATGTTGACTTTTTTCTTTCTGAGGATCTCTTCACTCCATCGAATCACTATTTATGATTTTCACTTCTTCTTGACCCATTTACTCTGCCTTCATTTCAATTCACATACACTGATTCAATTTCTATTTTTTTTAACCAAATACATTTCATAAGCATCTCATTCCTACTGAGTCCAGCTCAGTATTGTTTCTTCTGACATACCCACTCTTATTTTCATGTAATAAAGTGGGCAGAAATATGCTTTTATATGGTGTCTCTTCCTCTTTCTCTCTCTCTTTTATCCACTACCTTGTTTAACAACTGTTTCCAGTTACAAAAGTGACATAGAACTAACTTCATGACCAAGCCTTGCATTACATCTCAGGTCTGTAAAGCAAAGAAAAGTGCAGTTGAAGTTTCACTGAGTGACTGCTTTGCTTAGTGATAGAACTGCTAGTCCCAGCTGTGGTTCCTAAACAAGGACTATCTGTAATTTATGTGCCCAGATCACTACATCAGTGTTTAGCAAGAATATTGAATGAAGGCTTACCAAATGCAGGAGATTGGAAACAAAACAAAAAAACTGTACCTACAAAGATTTCACTGTTTCCTCCAAGAGTACTAAGTAGGATAATCAACCAGACAGGAGCTTCTCCTGTTTTCATGGATTTAATGTATTAAAATCCAATTTAGTAAATTTGTGTAATGTGCAAACTGAAGACTGGTTCCAAGTATTAATGTATATTCAGTGTGATAATGTTATGAGAGCTTATGCTTTCCTGTTCTCATTTGGATTAGAACATTAAGCATGAAATGAAATATCACGCAACTAAGCAAATAATCTGGAATAGCACTTTAAAATACCCACTTATACAGCATCAGCAGTATTTTGAAGGGTGAAACCAACAGGAATAAAGTTTGAAATATTACAAATCATAGAAGTACAGCGGCATTATTTTCATAGCTATATGTTGATACCAAAAAGAGCCAATTAATTTACAAGGGATCAAATCTATATTATATTGTGTGGAAACAATATGCATTTAAAAGCAACAAATTAACAAGCCTGCCTTCCTTCTTCCTTCCTTCCTCCTTCCTTCCTTCCTTTACTACCTTGCCTCCCTCCCTCCCTCTTTTTTCCCATTACCTTCTCTTTCTCTAAGTTTAGTTTATTGGTTTTTACTACTATAATTAAAATTCTTAATAAAAATTACATTCAAATTTCCTAGATGCAGTGCATGCTTGTTTTACACTGACAGTTACTACTCTTTTGTATGACATTTAATCTTGATTCCTGATTTCATTTCACTTCTACTTGTGTTTCTATCATTTGTAAGAACTAATTTCTTGCTGTTTGTTCTTTTTTTAATGGTATGCTATCTTTAATAATACTGCCTTGTATTTGCAGGAAATTAGCTGTGTAATGACTTGTTTTTCATTCTAGAAACTATAAGTGTGAGCTTCTGAATGATCCTACCTATATGCATTGTTTCCCATGATTGGAAAAAGAATGGTTGGCTATCTAGTGCTTAGGGGAAGGCTAATTTTCAGAAATATAATTATGTCCCTATCTTGATACTCATTTTACAAATCTATCAACAAAAGATAACAAATATAATCACAGAAGATTTTTATACAATTTATTATATTTTAATATACTGGGCTGACTACTAGTACACATTTTTGAGATAGAGAATTTTAATGTATACTGGCCAGGTTGCCTGAACGTTTCGGGAAGGAACAGTATTGTAGACTGGGTTAGAAAAAAATGCTTTTGATAATAAACTATAATAGGTATATTCTACTAATACTGTTGTAAATGAGTGCCTTAAACTCTTTCACTGGTTTCAGGATTAAGCTATATAAGCAATGCAATCCAAAAGTGAAGAAAATCCATGTTAGAGTCATCTTATGTGACACTAAAATATTTATAACATAAACATTTTGGGTCAGGTCACATAAAATAAATTGAACCAAGACTAAAAACATTATTAAATAAAATTGTAAGTTTAAAAGTTATTAAATATATTGAATTAAGTCTATAAAATATTGAACTCTCTTAAAGAGACATGAATACAACTCTACTTTTTAACCCTTTCTTCCCCTTACAGTTGCCATTTCACAATTTGCAATGGTAGTTGAAGCTTTACATGGCAAAATTACTCTGTTGAATTTATCGTCCATATCTAATAACTTCTCATGTTTCTTGACCTCACTTCCCATATCATACAGTTCCCATTCTCTATTTCTGGGCACAAACACAAGTAGTAGTTAAATTTCAATATCTTGTGATTGTGCAACAGGAACAGTCCTTCCAGGTATAACACTTCAGAGTCTGGGGAAGAAGACTTCACATATCATGTTTTCCTGATATTTCTATTTTGGAGTTTTTAGTGCCTCCTTAGAAAAAACGAAGGGACCCATCTATAAAACATTTAATAAAGTGAAACCAAAGATTTAAAATGGACTACTGTGACCATCTTAGGAAATAGTAAGAGTCGCATTAGAAGGGTGACCTCGCTATCCATTTTATTAATGTTGATCCTTTATGGATATTTTATTGTATCATACAATTATGAATTTTTGAATTTTAATTTTATGACTTTTAGTGAAATATTACCTCATTAAGTTTTTTGATATTTCTAAATCAAAACTTACTTACTGTGAACCATTTTATGTATAGCCCACAATGGAAAACTTACCAGCAGCCATCAAAGGTTGCTGCATCTAAATTACAAAATCATTTAAATGCTCACTTTAAAGAACTAAATGAAATATTCATCTTGTTACTTCACATTCTCTTCTCTATATGAATTATTACCAAAAATATGTTGTGCATAAACATATACAAATGCAGTTTAGCAAAAATACAACCATTTATTCTCCAAAGCCAAATTTTTAAGAATCTGGTTTTGTTTGTAAAAGGAACATTAAGATTATATCTTGCTTTCTGTCATAACATTCACATTGGTTGCAAAGCATACCAATGTTTGCAACAAATTAAGATTACAAATACAAAAATTGATGCATGGAGATCACGATGTGGAAAATATATGAAAACAATCCTGCAATATAGCTTCTCTTAACTTTCAGCCTTGTTTCTTTTACATGAACTTGACATATTAATCAACAGTTTTTTATATTTCTCATACTACAGTTATTTTTTACTTTTTCTCTTATACTGTATATTCAATATTTACAAATAATATGGATCAGTCAAGATTTGCATATTTCCATATTCTAGAAAACTTTACGATGATATATATTTAAAAGCTATGGTTTTAATACTACTTTCATCTCCTGGTAAAAGCTAAATATTAATATGATTTTGAATTTCTTCAATCCACTTTTATTTAATCCTTATAAATCACCATGTTTAAATTCAAAAGTGATGTAATTTAAAAAACATAAAATGCATGTCCAAGACAACAAAATACAAGAGTGAGAAAAAGAGAAAAAAGAGGAGAAATGGCATATAAATATATTATTTATAAATAATATTATAAACCAACCTTACCTGGAACAAGCTCCATCACAATATAAATAGGCTGCCTTTGAGTACATACTCCTATAAGTTTTACGATATTGGGATGATCATATTGTTTGAGTATTCTGCAAAGAGGTGGAAAATTTCCTCACATCAATGTAGTATATCATTCTCTAAATGCTCTTTAATGTATCATTAAAAAAAGTTTATTCATTAACATTTATTCTTCCAGGAAATTTAATGACAAATCAAGTCATGAAAGATTTTTCTTGAATTTTTGAGTGTATCATTTTAGATATATCTTGCTTATAAAAACTGTAAAGATCTAAAGATATTCAGTTTATGTACAAAACAAATCTAGGATAATTTCCTCATTGCTGGTTTCTCTGCCCTCTCCCTGTCCCAGAGAGGCTTAATTCAAGTGACTTCTACATTATTATCAATGTAAGAGCATAAACACTATTAAACTGAAATACATTTTGAAGTGGAAAATATTTTCCACTAAAAGCCACTAAATGACTTTTTAAAATATATATTTTGGTATTTTTTACTTCTTACCTGGCCTCTGATAAAAACTTTATTTTCAGTTCTTGAGGAAGATCTTCTTTACATGTTTTTACAGCAACAGGCGTTTTATCTTTTAATGTTCCTTTATAGACTTCACCAAAGTTACCCTGAAGTTGTAAATATTAGAAGTTGTCAGTGACGAAAACAGTGAACAAAATCACGTTCTAAATGCATAAAATATCAGAACACCTTAACTCAATGCAGTCATACTAATTTTCTTATATAAGGTCATGTGACTTAGAGAAGTACCGTAGATATTGTTTTTAACACATGAACTAGTGCAGTGCAGCAATGTCTTCAGGGGACAAGAGGAGTCAGACTGACATCAATAGTATCATAATATAATTGTTGAACTTGCATATTCCTCAAATGGGTGGAGCTCATATTTTAAAATTGTGGTATTTCCCTTGTCACTTATATGATGTTAGTATTTCTCAAAAGTGATAATTAAATTGTCAGAACAGTGAGTAGTCAAGTAGGCATGAAGCCAGCTAAGTGACCTTGGGCCAATCACACTCTCTCAGCCCTAGGAAGCAAACCACTCCTGAAATCTTGTTAAGAAAAATGTTGGGGCTGTCCAGGCTGTTGCCAGAAGTCAATCCTGACTCAAAGGCTTGTGCATGCATAAAATACATGCACACACACAATTATTTTAAATGTTGCCAGAGGATTTAAAAAAAATAAATTAAGGTTAAGAATAATATAAACACATATAATATTGTTTGGAAGAATGCAGCTGCAGTTTTAGCAATCTTCCTGTGTGCTTCCTTATGTAATCAGATCATATGAAGCATGTGTCCTCTTTAGAAGAGACTCTATTTATATTAAATTTTATCTCAGTTTAGCTCCAGTGTTACTATCTTTTAAAATTATTTTAAACATTTATTATAATACATTTTTTAAAAAAAGAATGTTCTGGTACTATGCAACTCCATAGTAATGGGGTAAAATAAAAGATAAATACAGGAAATCTATGGTACAATTCCTCCTCATGTCAGCATCAATGCTCAAGAGGTTTGAGAATAATCACTTCAAATATAACATTATTAAGAGCATATTAGGCCTGAGCATATGACTCTTCTTCAGAATACAAATAGCAAACTGCTACACAAAGCAGCAAAATCAGCTAGAAAAAATGAAATGAAACCTATCTTTATAATATAGGTTCTATTTCAGAGACCATAATGTGGCTAAATCTTAAAGAAGTAAATCCCATAAAGCAATGTTTCTTATTTTTTTTAAAGATTACAGAATATGTTTCTATATTCAAATATGTCATGTTTTTCTTTTAAAATAAAAATAAAAAGAAATATGTAAATAAATCATATTCTGATATTATTTACTTTCCCTGATATTTAATACATTTAATGAGTGCAACTTTATATTTAATAAGGCAATAAATTAGGAACAATAATGGCATGTATGCACTTGCACATGACAGAATATTTTATCAGCATCTGGAGTGTGACATATTATAAGAAGTTTTAGAATTAGCATCCTTGACCCTACTCTAGTCTTTCTAAATTTTACTAAGTACTTTGTGCATTCAATACCTTTTCACTTAAAAAGTCATTCTCTGAACTGACATCCAAAATTCTTCAAGTGCGTTTTAAGTGTTTCAATGTGGTGATGATATAAAGAAAGATTAAACAACATTTCTTCATTCAATAGGTATTTTTGAATGGAATGAATTCAAAATTTACACACCCACACACATGTAGTCCAAGACTTCTATTACATCTGAATTTGAAGAAATAAGCTGAAGTGACAGTATTTTTAAGTTATTTAAAATAACAGCTGCAAACTGAAAAAACTATAATCTTCATTCCTGTTTTTTATTTATACCTTCCTATACTACATATTGCCCTCCATGATCTGGGCTGAAATCTGTTATGAATCCCCACAGTCCTGAATAAAAGAGACTATTTATAGCTTAGGGTTGAATTGTGGGGTTCTGGTACTCTCTCAACTAAGTTCAGAGAGCACCAAAGACCTCACAGTCCTTCTTGCTTGTTCTTTCCTGACTTCTCGTGGTTGTAGCTGATATTCTGCAAAGATCTCAAACTAAAGAGACACACTGGACATAAACTAAAACAGGTGATCTATCATGCATTGAGAAGGCTTAATAACTACTGTGTTTTGTAAAAAGGTTTAATATTTAGGAGTTTTGATAGTTACTTACTTTGCCAAGTAATTCTCCCAGAATGACGTCTTCATGATTGAGAATCCATTTTTTATCCTGCAGCAATAAACATTAATATTTAGTTTTTTTAAAAAAAGTTAACATTTCTTATTCATATGACTGGCTTTCTTCCAGAAGTATGATTCAATGAAACTAGACAACCACATACTAACAAGTTTCAAGATAAAGACAGTCATGTGAAATCTGTTAATAAAATTATGGCAAATTCCTAATCAAAGCTTTGGCTCAATATAATACCCTAACAATATATCCATATTATCTTTAATGTATGAATACGTCTATCATTTTTAAAGATTACTGAAAATATCATTAAAAGTTTATTATAGTACATGCAAAAACCCAAATATTTATATTACTGATGAACTGACTATATGCTTGCAGCTGCTTTATGTTCTTGATATAAGAACATAAAGTTTCAAAGAGCTCTTTTAACAAATTTTACTTAAAGAGCATTTTAGAGATGTATATACATTTTAGTCCAAACAAAAATTGCCACTGCTAGAAAGAATTAAGCAAAAACATATTTACCTAAAAGAATTTTGAGGTAATCTTAACATTGTTTCTATATTTTAGTTATATATCTTTACTGAAATATCTCTTACGAGATCAGACATGAAGATATAAATCGAGTACTCTTAGTTTGCACTGAAGCAACCTGCAGTATCATCAACTCTTGTATAAGATCTTGAAGAGATATTACTGAAAAAAATCCAAAGTATTCAATTTAAATTGTATACCAAGGAAGTGGCAATATTAACTTTGGATGCATTCTT